ACACATTTTTAGGAAAGTGGGTGAACAGTTGTGCTAGACCCCACTCACAGGTATACCGCCAGCACACTCCCCTGTAGGAGGCGACAGAGCTCCACTGAAGTGAAAATAAAATACAAACTAATTTCCCTAACAAAGTTCCGTGTGCCTCACTTGCAAATGTTCTATTATTAAATCAACAGAGATTAATGTATTTTAAATACCAGATACGCAAGAAGCAGTGATCAAAGCTCGGCATGGTTAGAATAGTGGATACCGGAGAGAAATAGGCCTCTAGATTGTCTTAATATAGTACTAAACAGATCGCTGGAAACATGGAGTAATGTTTGGTCCCCTGGAGAAAGACACCCTCTAAACTATAATTCGATTAGAGCTTTTATCTAAAGCAAGTCAAAGGAGCTATCAAAATTCCTTCTATTTTCCACCATGTCCTTAACATATGGTCACACATATAAAATTTTCTAATAGAATTTAGTAAGAAAAAAATTTTCTTTTGACCCCAGACACCCTGCTAATCAGAAATGAAGCCACTCCCAAAGTTCACCTTTCAGCCGAAGATTAGACAGGCCTATAAAACAAACAACACACATGAGGAATATGCTTCTTAGTTCAGTCAAGTATATGAGACCTAATGGGCAACACCTGCCCAAAAGCAAAGACGAGAAGGCAGGAAGGGACAGGAAAGTTGGACAAATGGACACAGGGAACCCAGGGTGGAGAGGGAAATGGGGAGAGTGCTGACACATTGCAAGGATTGCAACTAATGTCATAAAACAATCTGTGTATAAAATTTTTGAATGAAAAAGTAATTTGCATTGTAAACTTTCACCTAAAACACAATAAAATTTTCTTCTCTTGACAAATGAGTATGCTTTCAGTTAGCAAAAAAAATAAAAACTAACATTTTCCCTTTTTTGCTCTGGCTACAAGGAAACTCAAAGTCAGTAAACAATAAAGAGCATCCATCTTATTCCAGATTCTAAATATAATTACTTTTTCCTACCTAGTTTCTGATTCTGCTGATGACTTAGTGAGGGTAAGAGATAACAGTAAAAGATGTGGGGGCTGTGGAGCCAGACGGACATAAGGCAAATCCCAGTCTCACCTTTAAGCCAAAAACTGAGTAACTTACAAAAAAACTTTCTATAAAAAAACATGTAATACAATCCATAGCAATGTCTGTGGAATATTCAAGGAAAAACAATCAGATAAGTGTTCGTGTGCTCCGTGCAGCACATGCTCACTCGCTAATACACGTTACTCTCTCGCTCTTTACCTCCCTCGTTCCCAGCAGGACCTGCTGGGCGGGGCGCGTGCTATGCCAGAAACTGAAGGCGCTCTCCTACGCAAGCACATGAGCATGCACACAAGCAAATACTGTGCACTGACTTAGGTTCATTGGTCATTTGTCACTCTCCCCTACCCTTCCTGATTCTTCGTGGATCCCAAAGCAAGCGAGGTTACAAAACTCAAATCAGCACTGAGAGAGCCATCAGGTAGAAAAGGAAGCTAAGCTCTTCACAGCTTCTTTATTTAGCTTAAAATGTTATGATACTGACAGAATGGTTTCGTTTGTATGAAATTCTAGAAAAGGCAAAGCTATAATGACAGATCAGAGGCAGCCAGCAGGTGGAGCAGAAGCGGGTGAACTACAAAGGGGAACCAGGGAAATCTGGGGGGCGATGAAGTGTTGTGTGTCGTGACCGTGGCAGGGTTACACAACTGTACACACTTGTTAAAGCTCATTAAATTGTACACTTTAAATGGGTGAATTTTATTGCCCATAAATTATACTTAATCAACCAAAGAGACCTAATGATTCTACACTGGAAGCAAATATAACATAGTGGTGAAAAGCACGGGCTCTGGAGCCAGACTGTCTGCGTTCAAATCCCGTCTCCAACCCTTACCGGCTCTGTGATGTCAGTCTAGTTACTTCAGCCCTCTGTGTCTTACTTCTTCTAAAAATAGAGACAAAGGGCTGCTGTGGTGATTAAGGGAGCTAATTCGCGTAAAGCACTCAGGACAGCTGGGCATATGCTATACATTCTTCAACTAGTTACTATTTCTCATTGGTCCTTCAAAAGTCTTCCACCACCTCCTTCCAGTCATAACCACGAATCACCCTCCCTACTCCTTAAAGGCTGCAAGTATGACTTCTAGCCCTATGTCTTTTACTTAGGGCACTGCAATTCCACTGAAAACGAACCCCTGGATTCTAACAGAATTTGTTATAATCTTAATAAAAGAAAAATACTAATTGACGTCGATTCAAAAGAAAAAATAATTTATATGCAAATAGCACGTTTCCTCTAGGTAATTTTGTGGCAGTCTGTGAGTGGTTCCTGAAGTGATTAGAATTGACTGTGAAAACCCTGTGGTCCTAGGCTTGACCTCCTATTGCGTCCATTACTTTGTGGTTAGTGATCATCGTTAGCCACATCCTAAGTAATACTGTTGGTCAATATTCGGGATAAGAATAAACCCACCGTTAGGCACTGGAGGAATAATCTTGAGTATAAGATCCACTGACTTCGAATAGTTACACTGTATCTATATAACACAGGGGGGAGTGGCAGTTCACTAGCAGAATCCTCGCCTTCTATGCAGGAGATTGGTTCGATTCCCAGCCAATGCACCTCGTGTGCAGCCACTACCCGTCTCTGTCAGCAGAGGCCTGCATGTTGCTATGATGCTGAACGGGTTTCAGCAGACCTTCAGACTAGGACGGACTAGGAAAAAATGCCTGGCACTCTACTTCTTAAAAATCAGCCAAGGAAAACCCTCCGGATCCCAACAGTCTGATCCTGTTGTGCACGCGACCACCTGAGTTGGGGGCCAACTCGACGGCAGCTAACAACAACATCTACATAATACAGACAGTGGACATCACAGAAATAGCAACTTCTGGCAGTAACTGTAATTTTCTCGTAATAAAGGGTTTAAATAACACGAAAACGCCTTTTCTAAATTCAAATATTCTATATAATCATTACTGGACCTGAATAAAGACTCACCACAGAGGCTTTTTTCCGCCTGCTAATAAACCCCCATTTTGCCAGCATCTGTGAACAGCTCAAAGGCCTTTACCTGTTCTTCCTAAACAGCCGCTTTCGTAGCTGTCACCTCTCACCTGCGCATTTGACACAGCATTTATCCTAGAACAGAACAAAATCATCCAGTGAGCTTCCATGCTGTTTTTACATATCACTTAGAAAGGAAAATAGATGATTTCCTAATAAAAGTTATTGTCTGGATAAATGAACATAATCTTTTACCAAATATCCTAGTGGACAGAAATGTCACGTTAGCCTCATTTTCCTGATGTACGCCCAGAAAACACACACTTAAATTTTAAGAGATTAATTACCTGAGCTGGGTAAGTGAGAGGCCAATTTTCTGATCTCTTCGCCTATTTGACATTTACACACGAATAAATCAGTGTTAGTTATACCATTTTAAGGTTTTCATTGTAATCAAGAGTTAAACAGTTTCCCTTTGTATTAAAAGTCAAATGATTTTCTCTGATAAAATGATACTCGTGAAGACTGTGCTTCTTAGCTCAAGTAAATACATGAGACTAAATGGGCAGCTCCTGTCTGGAGGTGAGAAGGCAGAGAGGGTCAGGAGGTGGTTGAATGGATGGTTAATTAGGGGTGGAAACGAGAAGTGTGCTGTCACAGTATAGGGAGAGCAATTAGGGTCACATAACAATGTATGTATAAATTTTTGTATGAGAGGCTAACTTGAATTGTAAACTTTCACTTAAAGTACAACAATAAATATATATA